ACCCCGCGGGAAAGTTTTGTTCCAAACAAAAGCAACGTTGTACATGTGATAAACGTCATATCAGTGTTCGGGCTGATAAACAATCATTGTTCTCTTTCAACCAGTCCCGATAACTAGTTATCCGCTGATATCACAGCCCGTCTATGTTTAATTGTACGATATACAATGTGCATTTGCTTTTGATAAAAAGATACGACGTAAATAGTTTTATTTATTTTAAACCTTACATAAAAAACAATAGAACGAGCAGGATTACATTTTTATAACTGATTGTCTAAATGTATAATTGATTAAAAGGTTATCATTTCATAAATATTTTGATACCATACCCTTAAAATACATTTAAGTATGCTGCAGTATAGAGACATGTGTTATATTGCCAGTATTGCATTCCATTTTGTTATTGCGTAGTTTAGCCTCTTCAATAAAATAACCAATGAAGAGATCTTTGAAGAGCAGAGAGATCCATCAATGGCACCATGAACTATAACCAGAACTACAATCCTGTACGGCACTACCATCTCTGACTAGTATACAGGTATACAATATTAAATGAATGTATCTGAATGGGACCTATTATGATCGCTTGACAGCACCGCGACTCCTGTAAAGCTACACCTCCCTCTAAACGCTCCTGGCACCTCTTCGGCATTATTACAACCAATGAATAAATTGTGACCCTTGAACGGCACCATGACCTTTACATAGGTTATGAAGAGGCATATTGAAGTTAATGTAGGGACTAAATTAGCATAAAGCTAGCGAAGTTGAAGAGTATGAATGAGATAACACTTCCGCACGTACCACTCACCAAAACGTTCCGCGAATCCATCAACCAGGACCAGACAACGGCCGACGAATTCAGCCTTTATTGCCATACTCTTCAAAAACATCAGACCCCCGGGAAATAACAACACCGTCGAAGGCCATCAGCAAAGTAGTGGTCGACGGTGGTGAGAAATCCCTTTTCAGCATCAGTAATATTAGGAGTTCAAGAAACAATTATGACTGCCTCTCCTGTTGTTGATTTACATAAACGACATACAGGTAAACCTCGTCTAAGAAGCTGTTCGCAAATGTCTGATCGAACACAAATGGATGGAGAGACCGATATGAAATGACTAAAGGAGTGAAATGACTAAAGGAAGACCCCGACTCATGCAGCAATGGGATACAGGAATAGGGATATCCATTATTAACAAACGACTAGTCCTAGTGCAAACAGTCCTGTGACACACCCATAAAATACCGCAAAAGTATAATCGACCCAAAATGACAAAATTGACATCACAAAGAAGGCATGCAACACACCCGCCTTCTTCGGTCGTGATTTCATACTCAAGAGGCATTAACACCACTTACATGTAGACCTACTACAAGACGCTGGCCCGCTCACAGCGATAATCTGGGACAATTCCAACATTACCCAGATCACCTTCCTCAAAAGAAGCATTGAAACGTCAGATTAATCGTAAGAAACTACATGTGCAGCTAAACTAGCAGTGTAATAAGCAAGGCTAATAGAACTCCAACTCGAAGTCTTCAGTCAAGAGGATCACAAACTGGGTTACTAATGTGTATTGTAGTAAACAGCCTCACTGCTATCCTCGATACCCCAGGGGTTACGCTAACTTTCGCTCTCTTCACCTTGAATTTGACATGACAACAATGAAGGCACATTGCTAGCTATTTGATTGGTGGATACCAGTTCTTTGAAGCCCATTAAGCTCCTGCGGAATTATTTAGTTGTACATGTATCTTTGATTCTATATCATGACCTATGGTATGTGCCAGGTGTGCAGATAGGATAATCCCTGGATAATCGAGGATGCCGTATTGCGACACCAGCTACTACTCCCCGAGTCAAGTGGCATTACTAAAAACAAAAAAAAACATCAGATACATCCAAGTTTTCTGATCACGTGATCATACAGGACTATAAAAAATGTCATACGGTAATAGAAACAACTGCTAGGCAGCAATGAGGATGCCGCCACTTCAAAAGTAGGTAGAGGATAGTAACATTCCATTAATAAAGGCTGGAATTATTTTTTAATTGATTTGAAAATCGTCACAACAGGATATTGTAACTATGTGCAAATATATTATGACTGTACACTTTGGTAGAATATTGCTAACAACAAAAGAATTGTATGTAATGTTTTATTAACATTCATAAGGGCTCCAAAGTGCCAGCACACTGTGACAACACATTTATCGTAAAGCTTATGATTAAACTTAACATTTTGACAATAATAGAATAAAAGTCATGGTAACAAAATTGTCAAAAAGAAGCGTTTTACGTAGCATCAATTATTCTAACAATATTTAAGCAACAAAATGAATACTTTACCCATAGAGTGTCCACTTGGGAATTAGCGTTGTTTATATTTACGAAACAACAGCAAGATCATATAAGTGGCACATTTCACAAGTCTGGGTGTTTATTTGGTTTGGAAAAACGTACCTTGGTATGTTTCATTGACTGAGAGGAAAAAGGAATTAGTGCAGGCCTCATCAGAACTTATCAGTACACTCATGTGCTACCATGAATTGATTAGTTGGTGGTAGAATGCATGGATAAGACATTTTTGAGTTGCTTAAATACTCAGATGTGATACCTGCAAGTCCAGGAGTACCGTAATGGTCAGTATTTGGACATATTATATTTGCCATGTTTATAAATAACCTTCCATTTTTAGTTAATTCCAACACATAATTGTGTTTGACAATACAAAAACAATCTTCAGCCCTATTAAAATACAAGATGATCATAATTATATTGCAGAAAGATCTTGACACATTTTTATCAAAATTTCATCAAAATGCACATGCACCTGGGTAAGATTTCATTAGGTATACCAACTACGAACTTGACATTATAAAACTAACAACAACAATAACCAAGACGGACTTGGAAATGATACATATTCAAACAACATATCAGTGAAGACAATTAAGAAAGCTCAGTGTTTTAATCAGGAGAAGATTTCCAACATGTTTAGGATGTGTCTTTACTAGACATACATATATATATATATTTATGTCTACTTAGGGCCCATTTTCAATCCGTTTACCTTATAAAATCAAATAGATAGGAAAGGTTAAATGACTTCTGGGTAGGTCAACAACTCACTAGATTTTAAGGGTCTTAGATTCCAAGAACGCCTCAGTAAATTAATTCTTCCAACTGAATCTGTCTATTTGATGACAAAAGAAGCAATATAATTATAAGATTTTCAAAGTTCTGAGACGTATCTTATAATCTATGATGAGGAGGCCAGCAAGTGAATTAAGCATGAGAAGATATGACAGCTCAGCATAGCAGGACAGGAAAATTCACTAAGTCTACCCACTGCCCAGCTCTACAGGAGAAACAATCTGCTGCTCTCAGGGTAGTAAACACCTGGCATAGTCGTCAAAAACTGTGGTAACTGTTAATTAATACTTTAAAGAATACATTGAATTAGTATGGTCAACTCAATAATTACTTGTACCAGTAAAATCAATAATTACTTGTACTGGTCAAATCAATAATTACTTGTACCGGTCAAATCAATAATTACTGGTCAAATCAATAATTACTTGTACCAGTCAAATCAAAAACTACTTGTACCGGTCAAATCAATAATTACTTGTACTGGTCAAATCAACAATTACTTGTACTGGTCATATCAATAATTACTTGTACTGGTCAAATCAATAACTTTTTTATGATGAATTTATAAAAAGCTTTCATTGAAAATAACAGCCAGTGTGAATGGGCTGGTAGTCGAGAGTCTGAAAAAGTCTGACCTGCATGTCAACACTGTGTCAGGAATGTATATATAAGTATCTTAAGGTGTATACATGTAAGAGGTCACAGAAGATATTAGTAATGCACATGAATGCCCAGAAACATGTATGGTAGTAAAACCCTGATAATAAACAAAGAAAACATTAGGAACACTAATCATCTCAATATAATTTATCATAACATGTTTGACATGCGACACATAATTACACTGCTGTAAAACTCACAAGTAACAATGACATCAATATAGTGAAGGACAAAAATAGCACCGAATCCTTTATGTATTCACTTCCGTTGTAAACTCGCAAGTGATAATGATGTCCGCAATACACAGAGGAGGACAAAACAAGCACTGGCTAGATTTGTTTATTTCTACTTAATTTTGTGAGCAAATATATCACATTTGTACTTATAGATAATTCCTGTGATAGAGGACCTCAAACCTGCTCCCGTTCCGTCTTACTGACACTTGGTGATAATAAGACCTCATTTGATATCCTATCACAAACATTCATCATTTTGTTAATTGAGCACTTTTGAAAAAAAACTGTACAGCACCTATATATGCAATTTTGCAAATATATACATCTATATATAATTTGATTAATACAGGTAACATTGTCATGGTGGGTTGGGTCATTTAAAAATTGTCATGAAAATATTTAAGCAGAAAAATACTTCTACTGAACATAATTTCATTACAGAATAAAACTAATGATAAAATTTGGAACCCTTAGGGCCTTAAACATATGTCGGCATAAGTTCCGCGCTATCACAAGGAGACAAACACGAACATATCGCAGCCTCCCAAAATACACACACATACACTACATGCTGACGCATGCATCTTGCACACAGGGGAGGCCGTCCTTAAATGACCTTAGCTGTTAATAGGACGTTAAACAAAATCAAACAAACAAACAAACAAAAGCCTTAAACATATGAAAAACAAGCTTTACAGGAAATTATACATTCTAAAAATAAATTTGATAAATAGATAATTAAACTGAAAACAGTTATTTTAAAACTAATTATTGCATTCCCTCCCCTCCCACATCAATATAGCTCAATCTAAACTAAAGACACAAACATTGTCACAACATAGTATCACAACCCAAACAGATTTAGTTATCATCAATCAAATACTAAAAAAAAAAAAAAAATACATACATTTATTGCAACAAACGACCGTGAAAATAATGTTTGATTATAAATAAACATACGTGCATATACATGATGTAACTTTATGTTTAAATAAATCGTAATAAATTATAAAATTGTCAAGCAAACCGGTAATTCATAAAAGAATATATCACAGACTCATATATCATATGCATTATGTACATACCTGCCAACATTTAGATTTTTAATGGGGAGTATTTGACCAAATAATAGTGTGAAATGATGCTAGTTTATGCTGTCTTACAAATAAATCTAAAAATCTGAGCCAAGTACAACATTTTGGAAAACTGCTGATTTCAAAGGTCAATAATTTGGTTAAACATTTTGGCAAACATGTATAAATTACAAGTCAGTGATCTTTAATTTGGCACATGGTTAATACTCCCTATTTAGGCACATTTCATAAATTCTGTGAATATAGCGATGAGATGCAGAATACTTGAGTAAAATGAACCATGGACAAAATTGTGTTAACACAACCGGGGGGTACCCTATATATGTATTAGGAATAATGATGCAGAATCATATACTTTAATATAATCTACCATAGAAAAAACATAGTCACAACTCTACATTATGTAAGCGCTTGTAACAACCAATCTTAATAAACATACACATTTCTATTTACTGAAAATTACACACATTATAAAAACATCTGACATGCACAGATACTTACATAAACCACATGAGCTGATTGCTGAATAAAACTGACAGGCCTTAAATTACTCAAATAATAACCAGAAGGATTTGGTGTGCCATGCATTGTCTACTATATATGGCAAACCAAATCTTGCCGGTTATCATCATTTTATTATGTACAGGTTGCATAATAAAACAAATTAAAGCAAAGAATACAACCAACACCATAAATAAATGTTAACAAAAGGATGTCATATGAAGGATTTCCAGCAAAAAGAGTCAGCACTCAGTGATGATACCGGTCACAGAAATATAATTAACCCATGGATGGCTAATTAAAATCATTTTTGTTGTAAATGGTGGGTGTCTGGATAGCTTTATTGTATGTATGTTGGGATCTTATCAACAACGTGTCTTCTATGGGAACAATGTTGGACTGATGGATGACTGGTTGATGATTGTGTGAGTGGGTTTACATCCACCGGCCACATTCAACAAGGATCTATAAAGACCCACCTCATGCATAGTGAGATAATGATTGTATAATGCTGATTTGTAGGCCTTCTTTTGTTTATCAATCATAACTAATACCTCTATCCGTTTGTTATAAAGTGCTTTAGAGTAACTTTACAAATTACATAGGGTGCTATGTAAATGTTGCATATTATTATTATTATTATTATTATCCACGTCACTACCAAGCACCTCGTTCAGTAGACGGTTGAGTTGTAGTAATACAGATTTTAACTACAGCACACTGTTTGATTTGTGGATTTGTTACACTTATGATCACTCAAGGTTGGTAAAATAGCCAAGTCATTTTAAATAGTTATAACAATAAAACCATTCACTGTCTCAAACAATCCGCGTTTCCAATTTACCCTGAATAGAATAAAATGAAACAATAACAAACTAAATATAAATTGATTAACTACATAATCCAAACATCAACAAAGACTTCACATTTAACACTACAGACAAAAACCGTGGAGCTGGCCAAGAACTTTATAATCCACATGTTATGATGTAACACCAGACAAGGACCCTTGTCAAGGTCAAGCCCGATATTACACAACTACTATATATATAATCCTCCCTGTAGGTATCACAGCCGTTCTTAGGCACAACTGTTATAACACATTCACAACATGTATTTTAACATAACAACAGTCACATAAACATTGTAAGACTGTAGCACCACCAGCTGTCTGGTTGTTTCAAATAAAACAGATATTGTATCACCTGTCTCGAAGGATCAGTTCTACAGAAACATGTCTCTACAGGTAGAGTGACCCAGCATTCATTATAGTGACTCAGGATCGATGGGTCAGAGGTCAAAGTTGAGATCATATCCTGGGGCCACTTTTGTCCACAGTCACTGTTTTCTTTAGTCTGGTACCTTGTCTGATAGAGCCAAGCAGTGCTGTCCTTACAGAGGATGGTGGGGCCGGGGCTGATGAACTTGGTGGGGGAGGTGGTGGCCCAGGGACTGGTGGGCCTCCAGGAGGAGGGGGTNGGGCCACCAGGGGGTCCTGTTGAGGAGGAAGCCCTGTTGTGGGTAGGTGGGGTGGGAGTTCGCTGCCCTGTTGACACAGATGGTTTTCTTTTTAATTTCCTGTAAATACCCAAATCACAAATAATCAGTTCTACTGTATGTAATAGGTTAGTTTGTTGATTATCCATACAAATTCTACAAATTTTCAGATCATCCAAATATCTGTTAATTTTTCTGCTTGTTATTTATCACAAATTACTTTTTGCTTATTCTACATAATTAACGACTCTGCCAAACTTACATTCAGCAATAGAAATGGTAACATTAAAATTTAAACAGTGCTTATGCAGTACTCTAGAGGAGGCATGCCTTAATATATAATTAGGCTTGCTTTTATGCGACACTTACTTCGGAGGAGGCTTTCCTTTACGCACAGACTTCAATAAAGACTTCATCTGGGATGATAAACTTATCTGAAAATATTAACATACATAGTTTTATCGCACAGGTACACCTGATTTAAAACATGCAGTCTTTAATGACCATCTATTTATAAATGTTTACAGTCTTCACTGACTTTCACTCAATAACCATCGTCCTGGAGTTATCGTCTCAGAACCTGACTATGGGAGCTTTCTATCACAACACATGTGGGCGGAGATTACCAAGGCTTATGCAAATTTCGCTCTGTTACTTTGATTGACCAAATCACATGTTAATGTATTTCAAAAACAAAGTTTGTGTCTGTTGATCAGACTAATGGATAAAATCAAAGTTAAGGAAGATTTGTATTTTGATCAGCAGATCATGACCAGGAGTGAATTTATCATAGATGGCTTTCATTCTATTCAATTTACAGCTGCTTGACTTAGTTATCACCTCATAACCTGACCAAAATGGAAAGCTATTCCTTGAATATATTTGGTATTAGTACCTGCTTATAAAGACCCCTGTCTATAATGATCAACCACCTGATAATTATAATTAGTCTCTGTCTACAACTACCACCTGTCTACAACATCCATCTATTTACAAATAATCTCCTTATTTCTTAGTTTTCTTTCTGTTTTGAATTAAGAACATTCCATAGATACAACACATGACAAAATATCTTAACCCATTTCATGTTTTTGACACTTTTAAAATCATCAAACAAAATGGATTTGCAGCTTTCACATTTATGATAACTGCTAGTAACTTATGAACACAGACAGTATAATGGTGGACTCACAGGGGCAGGGTTATACAAATCCAGCTCTGGGAGGTGTACCTGGAAAAATGGCTGATGACATATCTGGAAAAGTTCATAAAACATCAATTAATCTGCTTGCTGAGTTATTGTAGTTAGGCCTAATGTGGAGTTAAAACAAAGAAATCAATACATTTGACTGCCACTGTGTTTACTACTAGCTGAGGAGATATTATCTTCTTTTTACCACCCAGGACCATTAATGATATAACACCTTATGTACAGGTTTAACCGAAAGTCAAGACTTGTGCCTTTAATAAGCTACAGCTGTAGACATGTGGTCAGGGCTGTAGACTTCACGATCGACCAGGTCTTCATTTTCAGTATAATGATTATGCCTTGATATATATATATATATATATGTTACAAGGGTAACTTTTGCTATTTAAAATCATTTCATGAATTTTTTCAGTATTGTGAAAAGAAAAAGGAATACAGTAATTGATGTTTCTTAAGAATTCCACACTTACATCTTGTAAACTTGGATACTTTCCAGAATCGTTACTAAATATGTAGTTCAGCATCTGTAACAAATGTATACATTTTATGTTAAATGCATCTAATTGATTTTAATACACGGTACAGTATAACATAAGAATACATCAACACAATACATAAATAAACGAAAACACTCCTCTAGGATGTGTGGGGTTTTTCAACTTCCAAACTCCTCTAGGATGTGTGGGTTTTTCCAACTTCCAAACTCCTCTAGGATGTGTGGGGTTTTCCAACTTCCAAACTCCTCTAGGATGTGTGGGTTTTTCCAACTTCAAACTCCTCTAGGATGTGTGGGGTTTTCCAACTTCCAAACTCCTCTAGGATGTGTGGGGTTTTCCAACTTCCAAACTCCTCTAGGATGTGTGGGGTTTTCCAACTTCCAAACTCCTCTAGGATGTGTGGGGTTTTCCAACTTCCAAACTCCTCTAGGATGTGTGGGGTTTTCCAACTTCCAAACTCCTCTAGGATGTGTGGGGTTTTCCAACTTCCAAACTCCTCTAGGATGTGTGGGGTTTTCCAACTTCCAAACTCCTCTAAGATGTGTGGGGGTTTTCCAACTTTCAACCAGGACATTTTTCTTTGTGATTATGATTTGTGCAGTGAATCCTTTTGCCTAATTTCCATCATATTGCAGGGCATTAATTTATTACAATAGCCTATTAATTAGAGTTATCTCCCCTAACTGAGAGTACCGTACTAGTATACCCATTATTTCCCTTTTTGTGAATAAATATGCACTAAAAAGTCTTATTATTACTGTTAAAGTTTTTGTTTTATTTGTCGTTAGATTCAATCATTATGTTAATACCAAACACATGTACATCCTATAGCTGCTTTGGTTTATCAGATCCAAGCATTTTTTGTTGTATAATAATGAAAAGGTTTTTTTCAGCTAATATCTACATAAAAAGGAGAAAAACAAGAAATAATAAATTGAAACCCTGCCTACATGTATGTGTGTATGAAGCTCACCTCCACCTGTTCATTTGTACATCTGTCCAGATCGTTGGGTTTGGGGTGGGCCGTGGGTAACTCGGCACCAGTACACATCTCAAACAGTAAATGGCCTACAACATTAAACAGTTACATTGTTAATAGTGCTACACAAACTTAAGTTTCTCTATTTCCTCAAAATTCTGAAAATTAAAAAAATAATTTCCAGTTTTAAGGGTGTAAATCCTGATAACTGCATGTTTTATCAGACTGAATTGAGTCTATTTTATTTCTGAAAAAAAGGCAGAGGAAAATATGGGCAAATTATTTATCTAGTCCCAATACTTGTACAGTTGCTACATTTTACCAAAAAAACACAAAAAACATGTTTAGAAACAAGAGGCCCAATGGGCCTGCATCGCTCACCTGGTATTGATCTAACACTTGTAATCTTAAAAGTGGACTAAAATACAGTTACAGGCAAAATATCAGTGTTTCATTCATAAGAACCTATTAAAAGATTTAAACATATGACACCTGTGACCTTGAATGTCGAACAAGGACATTATAATATTAGGTTGAACAGAGTTTATAGTCTTCCAACCCAGCATGCTTCTGGAAAAATATCATTACCATGGACCTTTTGGATATACAGAACAAATCATGTTAAGATTTAAACATATATTGACCACTGTGAACTTGAATATGGGCGAAGGTCATTCACTTGGTAGACCTTTATCCCAGCATGTTAATGGCCAAATATCATCACCCTAGGCCTATCGTTTATTCAGAAGAAGTTGTTTAAATGTTTAAAACATATTTGCTCTCTGTGACCTTGAGTATAAGTCAAGGTCATTTATTTGAACAAACTTGGTAGCCCTTCATCCCAGCATATTACTGCCTTAATATCATCACCTTAGGCCTCTCGGTCATTCAGAAAAAGTTGTTTAAATGTTTAAAACATATTTGACCCCTGTGACCTTGAAAGTGGGTCAAGGTCATTTATTTGAACAAACTTGGTAGCCCTTCATTCCAGCATGTTACTGGCCAACTATCATCAACCTAGGCCTCTTAGTTATTCAGAAGAAATTGTTTAAATGTTTAAAACATATTTGACCCCTGTGACCTTGAATATAAGGCAAGGTCATTTATTTGAACAAACTTGGTAGTCCTTCATCCCAGCATGTTACTGGTCAAATATCATCACCCTAGGCCTCTCGGTTATTCAGAGGAAGTTGTTTAAAAGATTTTAACATATTTGACCCCTGTGGCCTTGAATATAAGGCAAGGTCATTTATTTGAACAAACTTGGTAGTCCTTCATCCCAGCATGTTACTGGCCAAATATCATCACCCTAGGCCTCTTGGTTTTTCAGAAGAAGTTGTTTCAATGTTTTTAACACATTTGACCCCTGTGACCTTGGATATAAGTCAAGGTCATTTATTTGAACAAACTTGGTAGTCCTTCATCCCAGCATGTTACTGGCCAAATATCATCACCCTAGGCCTCTTGGTTTTTCAGAAGAAGTTGTTTCAATGTTTTTAACACATTTGACCCCTGTGACCTTGGATATAAGTCAAGGTCATTTATTTGAACAAACTTGGTAGTCCTTCATCCCAGCATGTTACTGGCCAAATATCATCACCCTAGGCCTCTTGGTTTTTCAGAAGAAGTTGTTTCAATGTTTTTAACACATTTGACCCCTGTGACCTTGGATATAAGTCAAGGTCATTTATTTGAACAAACTTGGTAGTCCTTCATCCCAGCATGTTACTGGCCAAATATCATCACCCTAGGCCTCTTGGTTTTTCAGAAGAAGTTGTTTCAATGTTTTTAACACATTTGACCCCTGTGACCTTGGATATAAGTCAAGGTCATTTATTTGAACAAATTTGGTAGTCCTTCATCCCAGCATGTTACTGGTCAAATATCATCACCCTAGGCCTCTCGGTTATTCAGAGGAAGTTGTTTAAAAGATTTTAACATATTTGACCCCTGTGACCTTGAATATAAGGCAAGGTCATTTATTTGAACAAACTTGGTAGCCCTTAATTCAAGCATGTTACTGGCCAAATATCATCATCCTAGGCCTCTTGGTTATTCAGAAGAAGTTGTTTAAAGATTTTAACATATTTGACCCCTGTGACCTTGAAAATTGATGAAGGTCATTTATTTGAACAAACTTGGTAGCCCTTCATCCAAGCATGCTTCTGGCCAAATATCATCACCTTAGGCCTTTTGGTTACTGAAAAGAAGTTGTTTAAAGTAAAAAGTTGACGCCGGCCGGACGCTGGACGCCGGACACCGGACGCCGGACCATGCCATAAGCTCACTTGGCCCTTTGGGCCAGGTGAGCTAAAAACTAGAAAATGTCTGTAAGGCATAAATGCCCCCCCGCTGCCATGTGAAATTAGTTTCAGTGTTTTATAAAAAGTTACAACCACTTTGATCTTGATACACACATTAGGTACTACACCTAAAGTTGATAAGTTGATTTTAATATTCATATGTTTTTTCTGTATGTTATTACCATCTCCATCACAAATTGAATGAAGTCGCTAAGTGTTTAAATTAAATCACTTGATGATTTTCTATATATAGCAACAGTGACCTTGGCCTTGGAACCCTGAAACACATCAATGTCCAAAGTATACTCATACCTGACCGTTGTATAAAGTTTGACCAAAATCTGTCAAAGAATGAAGTAACTAAGTGTATTACATTGAATCGGGACGGGTGTTTACATTGAATGGGGACGGGTTTTTACATTGAATCATGACGGGACGGGACGGACATGGGCAACACTATATGCCCCCACCCCCCCATTTTATGGAGGGTTGTATTTTTGTATAAAATTAACTGTCAAAGAATGAAGTTACTAAGTGTATTACATTGAATCGGGACGGGTGTTTACATTGAATCGGAACGGGACGAACATGGGCAACACTATATGCCCCCCCCCCCCCCCATTTTATGGAGGGTTGTACTTTTGTATAAAATTATCTGTCAAAGAATGAAGTTGCTAAGTGTTTACATTGAATCGGGACGGGACAGGACGGGACGGGTGTTTACATTAAATCGGGACGGGACGGGACAGGATGGCCATGGGCAACACTATATGCCCATCCATTTTATGGCGGGCGCATAATAAAAATACATTCACAAAATAGTATAGTGGATGCAAAGTAATGCTGAATGAGTGGTGTTCGATTAAACGAGCAGATTGAATAGATTTTATGTCATGTGTTACAGTGTACCTACATAGTGTTTACCTGATAGAGTCAATCAATTATACAATATTCACTTATGTCAATTTACCAAATATTACAGTTACTCATCAACTCACCAAAAATAATAACACAGAACCCATCAACTCACCAAAACTAATTACATCTATATCTTTGTCTTCTTTCATTTTTTTCTTGATGAGTGGATGAAGGCGTGATTTAAATCCCAGGAAAACATTCTCACAGCCTCCAAGTCTGTGGATCAACATAATACGCACACATAAGGGTTAACCGTCACTATTCTCTGTGATGTGTACGATACATATACCACTATATATAATTCAAATTCCCATTATCAGGAGTTCTAGTTCCCATTAGGGAGATATAAGCCAGGTGGCGTAGGACTAGTAGTTAGCACCTGATAAGGCAGCTACTGCGAATTCCTTAAATCCTAATTGTATATCTATATATATATATGTACTGTAAAGCGCTTTAGAGTGGCTTATGTGAGCTAGATAGGGCACTGTATCAAATGTTGTATATTGTTGTTATTATTATTAACTGTTACATTATACAAATTCACTTTTAATTATCATCTTCAGTCATTTGTTTTAATAATTATTATAAAATACAACATTACTTGCCATTTGTGATCATAAAATTACCCAAAGCGGTTCAAAGTACACAGTATATATATTTGTATCATATTTGTTAAGTTGCCTATAATCAATTCACTTAGAAACACCTGTTTCCTCCACACAACTTACACCTCTGATAACGACTAAATGCCAAGAACCTGTATTTTATTATGCCTTTTAGCAGTATTTTACATAAACAAACTTCATTTCTCCTAAATATTTGATCTGGTGAGAGGTCGAAATATCGGATGAGACCAGACAAAATTGGGTCAGCTGACAGATATGTAAATAACTCACTATAAGACAATTTCAACACAATACTGAAAAGATTATATTTGTAGGTGCATAAACAAAACCACTTATTACTACATTAGAGAATGGGAATGATTTGTCTCCCTTGGTTAGCAGAGATTATCTGTAGCAGCTGACTTTACAAGTGCTCATTAACAGAAACATATTTAACAGTAACAAGTTGCTAACAATAGCCTGCCTTCAATATGTACCTGCAGCAGTCCTTGGAGTACAGTATGTTACCAGACTGTACATGACAACAGTCTGCCTACCTGCAGCAGTCCTTGGAGTACAGTATGTTCCCAGACTGTACATGACAATAGTCTGCCTACCTGCAGCAGTCCTTGGAGTACAGTATGTTACAAGATTGTACATGACAATAGTCTGCTTACCTGCAGCAGTCCTTGGAGTACAGAATGTTACCAGACTGTACATGACAATGGTCTACCTACCTGCAGCAGTCCTTGGAGTACAGTATGTTACCAGACTGTACATGACAATGGTCTGCCTACCTGCAGCAGTCCTTGGAGTACAGTATGTTACCAGACTGTACATGACAATGGTCTGCCTACCTGCAGCAGTCCTTGGAGTACAGTATGTTACCAGACTGTACATGACAATGGTCTGCCTACCTGCAGCAGTCCTTGGAGTACAGTATGTTACCAGACTGTACATGACAATGGTCTGCCTACCTGCAGCAGTCCTTGGAGTACAGTATGTTACCAGACTGTACATGACAATGGTCTGCCTACCTGCAGCAGTCCTTGGAGTACAGTATGTTACCAGACTGTACATGACAATGGTCTGCCTACCTGCAGCAGTCCTTGGAGTACAGTATGTTACCAGACTGTACATGACAATGGTCTGCCTACCTGCAGCAGTCCTTGGAGTACAGTATGTTACCAGACTGTACATGACAATGGTCTGCCTACCTGCAGCAGTCCTTGGAGTACAGTATGTTACCAGACTGTACATGACAATGGTCTGCCTACCTGCAGCAGTCCTTGGAGTACAGTATGTTACCAGACTGTACATGACAATGGTCTGCCTACCTGCAGCAGTCCTTGGAGTACAGTATGTTACCAGACTGTACATGACAATGGTCTGCCTACCTGCAGCAGTCCTTGGAGTACAGTATGTTACCAGACTGTACATGACAATGGTCTGCCTACCTGCAGCAGTCCTTGGAGTACAGTATGTTACCAGACTGTACATGACAATGGTCTGCCTACCTGCAGCAGTCCTTGGAGTACAGTATGTTACCAGACTGTACATGACAATGGTCTGCCTACCTGCAGCAGTCCTTGGAGTACAGTATGTTACCAGACTGTACATGACAATGGTCTGCCTACCTGCAGCAGTCCTTGGAGTACAGTATGTTACCAGACTGTACATGACAATGGTCTGCCTACCTGCAGCAGTCCTTGGAGTACAGTATGTTACCAGACTGTACATGACAATGGTCTGCCTACCTGCAGCAGTCCTTGGAGTACAGTATGTTACCAGACTGTACATGACAATGGTCTGCCTACCTGCAGCAGTCCTTGGAGTACAGTATGTTACCAGACTGTACATGACAATGGTCTGCCTACCTGCAGCAGTCCTTGGAGTACAGTATGTTACCAGACTGTACATGACAATGGTCTGCCTACCTGCAGCAGTCCTTGGAGTACAGTATGTTACCAGACTGTACATGACAATGGTCTGCCTACCTGCAGCAGTCCTTGGAGTACAGTATGTTACCAGACTGTACATGACAATGGTCTGCCTACCTGCAGCAGTCCTTGGAGTACAGTATGTTACCAGACTGTACATGACAATGGTCTGCCTACCTGCAGCAGTCCTTGGAGTACAGTATGTTACCAGACTGTACATGACAATGGTCTGCCTACCTGCAGCAGTCCTTGGAGTACAGTATGTTACCAGACTGTACATGACAATGGTCTGCCTACCTGCAGCAGTCCTTGGAGTACAGTATGTTACCAGACTGTACATGACAATGGTCTGCCTACCTGCAGCAGTCCTTGGAGTACAGTATGTTACCAGACTGTACATGACAATGGTCTGCCTACCTGCAGCAGTCCTTGGAGTACAGTATGTTACCAGACTGTACATGACAATGGTCTGCCTACCTGCAGCAGTCCTTGGAGTACAGTATGTTACCAGACTGTACATGACAATGGTCTGCCTACCTGCAGCAGTCCTTGGAGTACAGTATGTTACCAGACTGTACATGACAATGGTCTGCCTACCTGCAGCAGTCCTTGGAGTACAGTATGTTACCAGACTGTACATGACAATGGTCTGCCTACCTGCAGCAGTCCTTGGAGTACAGTATGTTACCAGACTGTACATGACAATGGTCTGCCTACCTGCAGCAGTCCTTGGAGTACAGTATGTTACCAGACTGTACATGACAATGGTCTGCCTACCTGCAGCAGTCCTTGGAGTACAGTATGTTACCAGACTGTACATGACAATGGTCTGCCTACCTGCAGCAGTCCTTGGAGTACAGTATGTTACCAGACTGTACATGACAATGGTCTGCCTACCTGCAGCAGTCCTTGGAGTACAGTATGTTACCAGACTGTACATGACAATGGTCTGCCTACCTGCAGCAGTCCTTGGAGTACAGTATGTTACCAGACTGTACATGACAATGGTCTGCCTACCTGCAGCAGTCCTTGGAGTACAGTATGTTACCAGACTGTACATGACAATGGTCTGCCTACCTGCAGCAGTCCTTGGAGTACAGTATGTTACCAGACTGTACATGACAATGGTCTGCCTACCTGCAGCAGTCCTTGGAGTACAGTATGTTACCAGACTGTACATGACAATGGTCTGCCTACCTGCAGCAGTCCTTGGAGTACAGTATGTTACCAGACTGTACATGACAATGGTCTGCCTACCTGCAGCAGTCCTTGGAGTACAGTATGTTACCAGACTGTACATGACAATGGTCTGCCTACCTGCAGCAGTCCTTGGAGTACAGTATGTTACCAGACTGTACATGACAATGGTCTGCCTACCTGCAGCAGTCCTTGGAGTACAGTATGTTACCAGACTGTACATGACAATGGTCTGCCTACCTGCAGCAGTCCTTGGAGTACAGTATGTTACCAGACTGTACATGACAATGGTCTGCCTACCTGCAGCAGTCCTTGGAGTACAGTATGTTACCAGACTGTACATGACAATGGTCTGCCTACCTGCAGCAGTCCTTGGAGTACAGTATGTTACCAGACTGTACATGACAATGGTCTGCCTACCTGCAGCAGTCCTTGGAGTACAGTATGTTACCAGACTGTACATGACAATGGTCTGCCTACCTGCAGCAGTCCTTGGAGTACAGTATGTTACCAGACTGTACATGACAATGGTCTGCCTACCTGCAGCAGTCCTTGGAGTACAGTATGTTACCAGACTGTACATGACAATGGTCTGCCTACCTGCAGCAGTCCTTGGAGTACAGTATGTTACCAGACTGTACATGACAATGGTCTGCCTACCTGCAGCAGTCCTTGGAGTACAGTATGTTACCAGACTGTACATGACAATGGTCTGCCTACCTGCAGCAGTCCTTGGAGTACAGTATGTTACCAGACTGTACATGACAATGGTCTGCCTACCTGCAGCAGTCCTTGGAGTACAGTATGTTACCAGACTGTACATGACAATGGTCTGCCTACCTGCAGCAGTCCTTGGAGTACAGTATGTTACCAGACTGTACATGACAATGGTCTGCCTACCTGCAGCAGTCCTTGGAGTACAGTATGTTACCAGACTGTACATGACAATGGTCTGCCTACCTGCAGCAGTCCTTGGAGTACAGTATGTTACCAGACTGTACATGACAATGGTCTGCCTACCTGCAGCAGTCCTTGGAGTACAGTATGTTACCAGACTGTACATGACAATGGTCTGCCTACCTGCAGCAGTCCTTGGAGTACAGTATGTTACCAGACTGTACATGACAATGGTCTGCCTACCTGCAGCAGTCCTTGGAGTACAGTATGTTACCAGACTGTACATGACAATGGTCTGCCTACCTGCAGCAGTCCTTGGAGTACAGTATGTTACCAGACTGTACATGACAATGGTCTGCCTACCTGCAGCAGTCCTTGGAGTACAGTATGTTACCAGACTGTACATGACAATGGTCTGCCTACCTGCAGCAGTCCTTGGAGTACAGTATGTTACCAGACTGTACATGACAATGGTCTGCCTACCTGCAGCAGTCCTTGGAGTACAGTATGTTACCAGACTGTACATGACAATGGTCTGCCTACCTGCAGCAGTCCTTGGAGTACAGTATGTTACCAGACTGTACATGACAATAGTCTGCCTACCTGCAGCAGTCCTTGGAGTACAGTATGTTACCAGACTGTACATGGCCATGGGGAGGGAATCCTTTGTCCTCCAACATGATCAGAGCCTGAAAATAAATTTATTAAACATGTGATATATGTACCAGTACACTAAAGGAAATATGTTAAATGCACATTCACTTCTGATTATCTCAATCTGATGGAATTTCCATTCAGATTAAAGTAGAGGACTTGTCCAGTCAAATGATAACATAACGTTTGGCTCACAGTGGAATCACCAAACAGGATCCCGTATATAACATGTACCCATACAACAGAAAACATACCTGGTATGCAGACCTATTATGTAAACATATTCAATACCAGAAGTAGTCGTTAATATCCTCCATGGAAGAGCTAAACTCTTTGTTTAAGAACAATGAAATTAGCTCAGATATCACCGACATGCAAAACCCATTATATATCCTCCGCAAACTACTTTGAGCAAAGGATAGTTAGAGTACATAATATTGTCTCTAGGTTACAATGCACGTAGTTAATTTGAATGATATTTTAAGACTAAAACTGTTTTTCAGGTGTAGTTCATAGAGTAAGTTTAAAACTCAATTTTAGATCAAAAGGAGAAAAGCTAATGCACACATGGTTCCCTTGTTTACCTCTAAAACCTGGCGACCGTACAGCTTCACTTGACTCTCTTTCAGTCCTCGGCTCCGAAGTTTGTACTTCACAGAGTACTCCTCATTGAATCTACACTGAGATATAAAACCAGACACGAAATCAATATTACTGGCAAAAACGAAAAATCACTTAAAAGATAATTATAGGAAGGACCTAAATATTGATGTAAACTTGTTATTGGTATGAAACAGTAGGAAAAAAACCATATTATTCCCATTTTGCAGTTTTTAAAAGAAGAATCATTCAACCTTCATCAGAAATATAGAAAAAAGTTTCCTAACGAGATCCAGGTACAGCTTACCTGATAGATAAAGTCTTTGAGTGAGCCCCGAAGAGACACTGGTTTGACAGTTTACTTACCTGATAGATAAACTCTTTGAGTGAGCCCCGAAGAGACACTGGTTTGACAGTGTACTTACCTGATAGATAAATTCTATTAGTGAGCTGCGAGGAGACACTGGTTTGACAGTTTGCTTATCTGATAGATAAAGTCTTTGAGTGAGCCCCGAGGAGACACTGGTTTGACAGTTTACTTACCTCATAGATAAATTCTATTAGTTAGCTGCGAGGAGATACTGGTTTGACAGTTTACTTACCTGATAGATAAATTCTATTAGTGAGCTGCGAGGAGACACTGGTTTGACAGTTTACTTACCTGATAGATAAATTCTATTAGTGAGCTGCGAGGCGACACTGGTTTGACAGTTTACTTATCTGATAGATAAAGTCTTTGAGTGAGCCCCGAGGAGACACTGGTTTGACAGTTTACTTACCTGATAGATGAAGTCTTTGAGTAAGCCCCGAGGAGACACTGGATGGACAGGTTACTTACCTGATAGATAAAGTCTTTGAATGAGCCCGAGGAGACACTGGTTGGACAGTTTACTTACCTGATAGATAACGTCTTTGAGTGAGCCCCGAAGAGACACTGGTTGGACAGTTTATTTACTTGATAGATAAAGTGTATTAGTGAGCCCCAAGGAGACACTGGTTGGACAGTTTACTTACCTAATATGTCTTTGAGTGAGCCCCAAGGAGACACTGGTTTGACAGTTTACTTATCTGATAGATAAAGGCTTTGAGTAAGTCCCGAGGAGACACTGGATGGACAGTTTACTTACCTGATAGATAAAGTCTTTGAGTAAGCCCCGAGGAGACACTGGATGGACAGTTTACTTACCTGATAGATAAAGTCTTTGAGTGAGCCCCGAGGAGACACTGGTTTGACAGTTTACCTACCTGATAGACAAAGTCTTTGAGTGAGCCCCAAGGAGACACTGGTTTGACAGTTTACTTATCTGATAGATAAAGTCTTTGAGTAAGCCCCGAGGAGACACTGGATGGACAGTTTACTTACCTGATAGATAAAGTCTTTGAATGAGCCCCAAGGAGACACTGGTTGGACAGTTTATTTACCTGATAGATAAAGTCTTTGAGTGAGCCCTGAGGAGACACTGGTTGGACAGTTTACTTACCTGATAGATAAAGTCTTTGAGTGAGCCCCGAGGAGACACTGGTTGGACAATTTATTTACTTGATAGATAAAGTGTATTAGTGAGCTGTGACGAGACACTGGTTTGACAGTTTACCTACCTAATATGTCTCTGAGTGAGCCCGAGAAGACACTGGTTTGATAGTTTACTTACCTGATAGATAAAGTCTTTGAGTGAGCCCCGAGGAGACACTGGTTTGATAGTTTACTTACCTCATAGATAAAGTCTTTGAGTGAGCCCGAGGAGACACTGGTTTGACAGTTTATTTACCTGATAGATAAAGTCTTTGAGTAAGCCCCGAGGAGACACTGGTTAGGCAGTTTACTTACCTGATAGACAAAGTCTTTGAGCCCGAGGAGACACTGGTTTGACAGGTTATTTACCTGATAGATAAAGTCTTTGAATGAGCCCCAAGGAGACACTGGTTGGACAGTTTACTTACCTGATAGACAAACTCTTTGAGTAAGCCCCGAGGAGACACTGGTTGGACAGTTTACTTACCTGATAGATAAAGTCTTTGAGTGAGCCCCGAGGAGATCCTGGTTTGACAGTTTACTTACCTGATAGATAAAGTCTTTGAGTGAGCCCCGAGGAGAC